GATGCAGTGGAAACATCTCAATCTCTCGTAAGGGCTTAATCTAGCAGGCGAGACACAGTAATGATGGACACTGAAAAAAATAAAACAGCTTGGAAAAAGCATTTTGAAACTAGACTCAACAGATGAACCCAGCACGTAAGGGCTTCTCTGCTTTGGCACACGTTCCTCTTCAGAAATGGTACAACTGTTTTGGAAACAACAGCAGCCCTCACGCAGCTCTGACAGCCCGGTCCTCCTGTGCTCCATGAAATCACCGCCATGGCTTCCACGCGGAGGCCTGGTTTATTTTCCCACCTTGCTCTTCACTCCCATCCTGGTGCCTGGGGAGCGAACTCTGCAGTGCAAAATTAGGTCAGGCTCCCTACACAGATTCAACACCAGAATCAGCCCTCCCACTGTCACACAATTTCTCCGTTCTTCAGATGTATTAAAGCAGAAGAGCAACAAGCGTTTCCCAGCTTAGAAGCCATTGGGGTTCATTGATTCAAATCATACAGGGAATGGTACAAGTGGAAACAGACACCGTGTTATTTAACCGCACCTGGGTAACTGAGTAATGCCTGGTAGTTGTTTTACACAGCTAATTACTTTAGAGGACAAGAGATACTTTCATTGCCCCATTCTACAGAATGGCAGTAGAAAGCATTAAACAGGTTAAGGAAGACTTAATACAGAGTGATACTGATCCGAGGAAAGGATAAGGCGAGGCAGGAAGAAAAAAAGAAGACTAAGCTGAGTGTGTATCGACTACTGACTGGTACCTCCAACTTGACCAAGTCAGAGGTTTCCCAAACCACCTTGTTCATGATTTCTGGGAACAAGAGAATTGAAGAGTAAGCGGCAGAAACCTCAAGAGTTAAAAGTTATCTGATGTACAAAGGGGAAAACTGTCTTCCATATACTCATCTCCTGCCTCGGTTGCCACATCCTTTCCTCAGTTCTTGACAAACACAAGTGATGCTCTAATAAACACACAGAACAGCTGCACAGATTATTCCAGCCTTGCCACTCTGACCACAACACTCTTCTCTCTGCTCCTTCTATTGCCCTTCTTTTTATCCCATCCCACCCCTGCAACCTGCCCTCACTTTCAAGCCCATCATGCCCTGCTCATCCTAAATCTCACCCCCAATTCAGAGAGCATTTCTCCCCTCCCGCTGATCAGCATGGCTCCATTACCTTCCACTATTATTTTAAACAGGCACTTTTTTATTTGTCCTTTTAGCTTTGGAACAGGCTCCCCCAAAACATCCACAAAGCCATTTCATTTTTCCTGGGGTTTTCTTTTTCCTGGTTCTGAAGAAAGCACAGACTATCAGTGGAAGGTAGGCTGCAAGGGGTCACTATTGCGACCTCCTTGTTATATGCAGTCTCTTTTCTACTTACACAGCTCTATGGGACAGAGATTATATTTCTATTTCTGCTTATAAAGGGCAAACATACCAGGTCTCTGATCCACAGGAGCTGTGAGCCATTGGAGTCATAGAATGTATAATAACAACACGGATGGGATGTGCTTCCATCTAAATTTCATAAAGCATGCCAGACAGGAATGTGAGCCTATACCGGTGTTTTGGCTGTAACATCCCTGTAGCTCATGCAACAGTCGAACTCCCAGTTGTAGCATGGATAAGAGGGAGCCCCCTCACACACAGCCCCCGACAGCAGCAGACAGGACCTTCCCCATTCAGCAGTCACCTGCAAATGCTTCTCATCCTCTCTGTGCAGAGCAAATGCATGTTGGTTGGTTTACATTATTTCAGTTTCTAAATTAAACCTCTTACCAGCCAGCTAGGAAGCCAACAAAAAGCCACCAGTTAGTTTTCACGTTAATTACAGCATTCTCTATGTCAGGAGAAATGGTAATTACTAGAAATGGTAATTACTAATTTAATCTAGGCAGCTCTGCTGGAGCAGGAAATCCATGCAGCCTGCAACACACCTCCAGGGGAAGGCATTCTTCTCTCGCTCCCTGCCTTTGTTTTTGCTCCCCCACCATGCCAAATTATCTCCTTTATTTTCAGTAACATCCATCCTCATTATTGCTGTGGTGGGCAGCACAATCATGACAAGATGCCCTCCCTGTCCTCCAGCCTCAGCCTTCTCCTGAGACTTGAAAATTCCAGTGCACCGAGCCAGACACGTGCCACCTCTTCACAGTCCCACTGCCCGCCGCTGGTGTGTTTTCCAAACATACTTAACAGCCAAACACCCAACATTAATAGCTGCTACTATGCAAAAACTGTATTTCAAACCAGTGGGGACATGACTAAGGTGTAGCTCCAGAGAAGGAAATTTTCAATGTTCCATCCCACACAGGACCAAAAAAAAAAAACCAAAACCAAAACCCAAAAGAGAAAAGGGTGGGGAATGGTTGCTCTTTCACTCTTTTTTGTTCTCCAGAGTATGGAAAGCCTGCTGAAAAGTTCTACACAACAGGTCAGATTCTGCTCTCAAAGACACATATGTGACACTTGCTAACATGAACCAGAGCCGCACAGCTGAAGGTACAATTGAGATCAGAGTATTTAGGTTTTTATATTAACTGAAATAAGTAATTCTTAAATCTATATGAAAGTCCCAACAGGCCAGTAAACATTCACTTAAGACAATCCAATCTAACATTCATGGAAACAAAGAATTCTGAATTCATGGGTTCATTCTATTCTTAAACCTAGATATTACTCCTAGATAAGCTTCCTGGATATTATTGTACTAGAGTCTAAGATCAGATACAGTCACCAAATCTTGGAAACACCCAAGATCCAAAATAGCAAGACGAAGCTGGAGTTTCACTAGAGGTACAATCTTTTGAATCTTTTGGCTCTTATAGCTTTTAAAAACAAATGCAGGTAAAAACAGCGGAAGGATTTTGATGTCAGAATACAGACCTTAAGAGCTCCACACATCAGTCTTTTCTATTAAATCTGTAGGTAAACTCAATTATTCAAGTATTCAATTTGTAGATAAATACAGAGTGACTGGACTGTATCTATTCCAGCATCTTCATTTTTTACATTCTTTGAATTAATCTTCATTTACGTGCAAGAAAGTCCAGAGTAGAATTCACCTGCTCTGTGTTCAGCTCTGTGTTCAGATGAAGATGTCACTCAGTATTCATGCAGGGAGCCAAACACGATTCTAAAACATTTTTAATAAAGTTGTTCCTTTGTATGTCAACTAAGAGTATTTGCAGTGCTCAGAAAGCAGCACCACTTCTTTACTCTGGCAACCAACTTCAGATTTCTGCAGGAGCAAGGACAATCCAAAAACTAAGACAGTCTTTGCTAAAACTGCATAAATTTCTGCTGTATACTCTGAACCAGATTTACTTGGACTGCAGTAATTCCCCTTTAAAGGGCAACGTACAGTGTGAAACAGTTGAGCTATTTTGCTCATAAGGTACTCAAGATGTTACCTGTGGTGCGAAGGCTTTTGGGAACTCACTCCCTGCACCACAGTAAGCTCAGCTACTCTCCAAATTCTTTCCTGGTGAATTATGGTAAAACTGGAGCACACTGGGGAAACACGGCAAAGAGACTGGAGGGACTGTACAGGATGCTCACTGAAGCCAGGTTGCCTCCAGAACTGAAGAACAGTCACATTTTCAGCTGAGCTGTCCTAACCCAAATACTATTTGATGAGGTGGCAAGCTCAGGTTAACAGCATTACCGTATGGGATTTAAAGGGATTTTTGCAAGGAGGACTCAAACTGTAGCTTAAGTGAAATAGTCTTAAAATATGGGTAATGTAACTCCTCCAAGAATATACTTGCTCTCAGCTTTCAGCATTAGAATTTGCTTTATCTATCTGCTTTCATCAAATTACAAGGGAACTTTAAATTTTTCTAAGACAGACCTGAGAAAGGAAAAAGAAATAATATTTCAAAGGGTGCAATTATTGCAGAATCAGTATTGGAACTAACGGCACTAAAATAACTGTTTAAAAAGAAGCCAGTTTCTGTCTCAAGAACTCACAGGCAGAGAAGATGGATTAAATATATCACTTTCATTGTACAGCACAACTGTATGACATCCAATCAAAGTAAACAGCACATGCATTTATTTCAATTGCTGCCTTTTGGATGGATAAAACTATGAAAAGAATAAAAACCAAATCTTCATTTAAAAAAGACTGTAAAATCCTCAGGAACTACCAATGAAGCAGGCTAGTGAAATTCCCTTTCCTGCCATTTTCACTGAGGCATTTGTTATAACAGCTATGCATGACTTGGTAAATACCATGTACCTGCAGCAGATGAAGCAAAGAATGAACTGTAACACAAAGATTTTGTAGTGTCTTCTGTAATAAATACCTTGATCTTTATCATGTGAGGACTTGACTGGAAAAGACTTTTGGAAGAGACTTCTTTATAAAGAATGATGTTCCCTCGCTGTCTTGACACTGGTAGTATCTTTATTTTTTTATATATATACATATAAAAACACATATGGCGGTACACACGCATGCACACATACATACAGATTTGATACTGATAATAATTGTCAGGAATAAAAGAAAAGAAGAATAGAATAAAAAAGAATAAAAGAGGCCAAAAGACCTAACCTATGCAGCAGCTTTACGTTCTATGCCATGATGAAAAGCAGCCCTGTCATGCTTAATTTCCCAGCTGACACCTCGTAAGGGGATGAAAGTAGTGTTGAAGAGGTAATCTATTGTGTCTCAGCAATTAGCATGCACAAATATTAACATGGTTGGTTACAGGATGATGATTACTTTGTTCGTGACTCCCTGGAGGGCCACCCACAGAAGGGAAGTAAGGCAACTTACAGTGATGGAAGGAGAAAAAAAAAAAAGGCAGAGTCTGATGACTGGCACTGATACGATGTTGGCCACCTGCTCATGACCAGGAGAACTGGATTGTAAGCTAGGATTTTGCTCCAGTTCAATTGCAAGAGTCACTAGAATCTTCTCTTCAGGCTTCAGACGCACAGGAGAGCATGCCTGCCATACTGGTGTTCATAATATCCTTCACTTACCTTCCAAAAACCGTATGCTTCTTGTCCAGATATGCACAAGAGCGGAATGTGATGAAGCTGGAAGGAATAAGACGTAACAGTTAGTGTATTACCTCATTGACACTCAACAACAGCCAGTAATGCTTAAAACCAGAGAGCGTATGCAACAGCTCTCTGAGAGAAGACAAGCCCCTCTCCCTCTCTGGCCCCCCTCTGGGAGGCCTGCTGGCCAGACATTCTTTAACTCCCCTGTTTTGTGGGTTTCTTCTTGGATTTCCGGAGTTTTGACTTCTTGTTTTTATACTTTATTAACATCCCTAAATAGTACTCCAAGCAAAAAGTCCAAAATTAATGTGAGCATCTGCCTCCTTGGCCCCACAGGCCCTGGGAAGCTTGTGCAGGACAGGGAGACGTGCGTCCTGCTTGTGAAGTATATTTCTTGTGGCAGAAGAATACTTCAAAGCATCAAAAGTAATGAAAACCTGTGAAACTTGGATTTTTAATTAATTGGACTTTTAATTTTTGGGGTTGTATTTTTAAACTTAAACATAGGAACTAAAATACCAAATCCAAAGCAACCTTTACTGCTAAAACTTTCCTCTAAAGCTGGATGCTTCTTTGGAAGACTTAGACTACAAGCGTATGAGACAGAGGTTTCCACGCTGTGGTCTGCAGACCACGATGGCCCATCTTGGCTGGACATGGAGTGCTGGCTCTCCTCCCCGTCTCCATCTGTTACACTACATTAGAGACAGCTAAAAATATATAAGCATTCCAAAAGCACTTTTCCATATAAGCAACTGCCTCAGGAAGTTATATGATTGCAAATAGGAGGGGCTGCAATCTGCCAGACAATCTATTAGAGATGTAGCTTGCCCTAGGAAAGCTTTGAGATGCTGTGCAGAATGCAAACTCCTACACAGGGCAAACATTACAACCTAGCCTTGTGCATGGGTTCTTTGCACCAGTTTATTTTCCCAGATATACAATAATTAAGATTAGCAAGCGGTCAGTTATGTAGCATTGTAATAAAAAAATCTGAGCAGTAGCAAATATACAGAGAAAGCTTCTCATCCATCACGCAATCAAAATAAAATTAAGGGCAATGGAATTAACATAACTCAGCATGATCCCGGAGGAGAAGCCCTGAGCATTATTTGAACATCACCTTACACAGGGGACCCAGCTCACTCTGCACTGCAGCATCTATCACCTACGGGAAGAGCTATTCCCCCAGTTCCTAAGACCACAACAGTTGCCAGAAGCGTCTAAACACTGCCTGGGAAGCTTTATAAATATGGGCAGCTGGAGTCTCTCAAGGGCTTCACATATAAAGGAATTTAATGTTTAATTTGCAAATTTTAGGGAAACATACGATCACATTTACAGTGGCAGATGATGTGACTCAATATGGCACATTGCTCATGACCTGTCTCTAACTTCTGTTTCTAGAATACCTTCTTTTAAAAAAAAAAAAAAAAAGCCTCTACTCTCCCCTAATTTAGCACCTGAGTGCTGGCAATAACATTCAAATCCAAAATAAGCTCTACAGCAACACGATCCTGCAAACTGCCCAACGTGCTTAGCCTTAAGTACGTAAGGCTATTAAAGGCACTGAAACAAGCACTGGGTGTTTAATTAAAGCTAACTGCGCTACTGCATAGTTTACAAGCCCTAATAACACTTAGGATCACGAAGACCAACACCAAGAACCCCCTTCCTCCCCAGTCCCAACACACAGTACTGTACACACACCCTCCCTCTCTTTCCTGGGGCTCGCAATAAAAGTACAACTTTTTTCTATCGTAGTACTTATAGAGCAACTAATAAATAGTTGGTTCAAAGTGACACAGAACATTTTCAAAAGACTTCAGGCAAACACCCGTATTAATGTTATACATAAAGAAAGTTATTACAACTTCAGTGTCTTTAAATTTCATTTGTTCTTCCGGCTTCGTTCATTTTTTCCTCATTTTAGTCCTCATTCTGCTTTTGTATGTTGAAAACCAAGTCATTCTCAACCCCAGATTCTGCACTGTGCCACATCTGGGTTCTACACATTTCAACAGTGCAGAACAGCTCTCGTTTATTTAAAATCAGGTGAGTAAAAAGAAGCAACATTTCCACAGAGTGTATGTTTCATTTCACTAAGCCCTTTCAAAAAGTTCAATACGGGGCTAAATTTAAACAGAGTGGAAAGGTGTAATGATCTCATAGGGATAACAATGGGGGGATGCTGACAAAAATGAACAAAAACTTCAAATCATAAAACCAGAAAAGACAAATTAATGATGATATAATAAACCTACAGGTCCTCCTGCCACGGTTTGCTTTGCTCTTAGCTGGGTAACAGCAGCTGTAGCTACCCTGATTACAGTATGCAGCACTCGACAGAGTATTTCACTTGACTGAACTTCAAAGAGTAGCTCATAAAATGTCATTTGTTTTCTTAACAGAGCAAGACACAATGTCTAGAGGGAAACAATACAGCAAAAAAAGCAAGTGAGTACTTACAACTGCGATTTATTTGTGTTGGGTCCTGAATTGGCCATACTAAGAACACCACGTCCCGTGTGGGACAAATTGGGCTTAAATTCATCTTTGAAAGGTTTTCCCCAGTAAGATTCTCCTCCTTAAAAGAGACAAGATGATAGAAGAAATGTTTGTTTTCATTAGTTTCCCACTACATTTTATAACAGGCACTGACATTAAATTCAAGGTTTCTGGTACTTCTGATCCCTAGGTGTATAATATATTCTTACCTCATCCCTACCACTGGGCTAGCATTTGAGCATGCCCTTGAAATCAGATGTTTGTAACGGGCAACACACAATTCTGTGCCCCCACACTATCAACTGCAACAGGCCAGACTGTTTATCAACAACATTATATATTGTGTGCTGAAGAACTGTCAAGGATTTAATTTTTTGCTGCCAATCCACCGTAATTTTTCTTTTTTGAGACATTAAATCTTTAAAAGTGGCTTTCTGACAAAACATAGAGCGAAGAATTACTAGTTTAATTGCATTCCGGATATAGCATTGCTTCCGGAAATAAAATACCAGGGAGATGAAATATGTTCATAGAATCAACTAAGAATAGGAGCTTTAAGCTCAAATGCTTAATTCCTGGCTAAACAGTGAAGAACAATGAGATATGTTCCTCCAAAATAAAAGGCAAAAATGAGATATTTGGACGAGATACCTGGATAATATAATGCTTAAATGCAATGAAGTCAAAAGGATGATAAAACTTCCACAAGCCACAGACCCAGCCCTCCAAAACTGATTTCTTTTCTGTGTCTGTGGATAGAAAGAGGGTCTGGGAGACCTCTCCTCCTGGCTGTCATTTTTACATTATTTATGACAGATCTGACATTTTCATTTGCACTTTCCTCCAGGATCATTCTTAATAAGAAAAATGAAGGCTGAGATCAGTCATAGTTTTACAGTCAAATCCATAATCTTGCTTGACAAACCATGAAAAAATATTTCACCTTAGGATAGTGATAAAAATAAAACAAACAAAACTATCCAAACAGGCAGCAAACTGGTCCATCTGCAGAACTGGCTCAAGAATCCTCTGGAGTAACTGTATCACTTGTGAAGCAGGAGGTCAGCAAAGGATCTGCAGTGCTCAACGGCTATTTGCACGTGTAATACAGAAAAGCAATTTGATGACACAACTGCACAGGCAAGCAGTAAATAAAATTGAGGAATAAAACAGGCTCCTACTGAAAACCTTATGCAGAAAAATCACAAGAGTGCATCAAATGAGGAAAGAGTTGCAGATGATACCACGAAAACAGAGCATCACATGTGGACAGCTGCAAGTGCAAGTGGAATGAAGTAAGCAAGAAATTTTGGAAGAAACTGACCCACTTAAAAACCCAATTAATCATGTTCAAAAGACTATTAATAGAGTTGAGTGTTGCCTGCTCTGCAATTTGACAAGAGGCAGCAAAAGGGGACAAACCCTGTAGGGATTTTCTGTAATCAGAAGTAGAGGAGGAGTGATTACTTCAGCAATCTTCGGCCACTGAATATTTTAAGATCAGCTAAATTACATCAGCTTGATCCCATATGCCAATCTCTTCCAGGAGTGGGTGAAAGGGATATGGTACAGCTGTGGCCAGCTCTACTGTCCTGAAGATGAATCCAAGACCCAGCTATTCTAGCCAAATCCCAAATGTGCAACCTATTAGAGAATGTCTTACCAGAAGCCCATAATTTTCTTCGCTAATGAATCTCCTTGTGTTCCTATTTGCTAAGAGAGGTTTCTTGAGCAGTGCCTGCTACCTACCTTGTTCAGAAAAACAAAGTTCTTGTAGGTTAGTAAATCGACAAGTTATGCTCAGTATATAGCGAGGCTCCATACCAACAGGTGATGCCCGAAACCAGAAATACCCCTGCAAAGCCTACAGACCCACTGCCTAGCAACAGCACTATGCCCTGAGCACTATTTCTCTTTGCGTTTTTGCCTTTTTTTTGCACCTTTCCCCTTTGATCTGGCCTGGCAGGGCAGCATCGGGGATGGGCTCCCTGCCCACACCACCAATGCCGCTGCGGTGCCGATGCTTCAGGCTCTGCATTTCTGCTCTGGGCCACAGCCACAGCTCTTTGAACCTGAGTAACAAACTTCACTTGGACTTCCCTTAGAGAAATACATAATTTTGCTTCAGAGGATTCTCTTGAAGCAGATTTGTAAAGCAGATGCACTTGCTTTGAGTCCTCACCTAGAGGAGTTTTTGCTGTCTGAAATTTTAAAATGATATGCAAACACAAACACAGCCCATTGTGGTGGTACACAGCAGCGGGCGGCCAAACCCTTGAGTCCGTTACACCCCTCATATGCTTCCAGCTAATGCTGGAAATACAGCGTCGTCAAGCTGCTGAAAGAGAGTGGAATCGACCCTGAAGCCTTCGCAAGTCAGAAAAATAATTGAAAAGGAAAGAGAAAAATTGTGACAGAGAGACTCTCTCTTTCTGGCACAACAAGCAACCAGACCCAAGAGCTTGCAGACAGGAGCAATGAGCCATGATCTTTAGGTTTTGGAATATTTATTTTTGTATGATTTCATTTCGAATCATGCACGGCAGGTCAGAATTAATCTCATATGTACGAAGGCTAACTTGGGTTCATTCCAGTTCTCTGGAAATAAGTGCTAATATTTTAGAAGATAGTTACAGCATGAGATCCAGTCCCCGCTTCCCTCTCTGTCTGCCATACAGCTGTTTCCAAGGCTAATTCTGTCTGCCCGGGAGCCGCAGCAAGAACAGAGAATGGCCTGTGCAGCATTCGCCTAAAGGCCAGACGTCCTATAAAGGACATTGCTGGAGTGTCTGCGGAGGCCTGGCAGCACCGACTGGCAAGGGGCAGTGGAGACACCGTGAAGGCAGTCAGACGGTAGTGCAAGAACGGTTTGGGGTTGTTTGGTTTTGTTTTTTTTTTTAAAGGAACCTCCCCAAATTTTTAACTTAAAGATTTTTTTTTTTTTAAAAGGAAAACCTTGAAAGTATTCTCCTTTAAAATTAAAAATAGTCCGAATGCGCTGTTTGTCAAACTCTTGCTAACCTCGGGAATTGTTCCAGGCTTCCAGTAGCTGCTTAAAGCAGGACCAGACAGAGCAAGACAGAGGATGGCGAGTTAAATGTATATATTTTTTTAATTACTGAAACCCAGAATCACTTTCTCTCTGAAGATGAAGTACAGATCCCCCATCAGTCTACTGCCATGGCAGCACAGCGCCTAATGCTCAGCCAGGGGAGTCTGGAACAGGGATTTTAGATTCTTACATTTTACTTTCTACAGCAGAGCTCAATGTAAGCTTGGGAAAATAAGTCACAGGCTCCAAACCTACTACTAATAATTATGAGGCATTCGGAAGTATCTAGCAGATTTTACTGTGTTTGTTCTCGACACAGCTGGGAGGTGTGGCTGTGCCATCTTCCTCATTTTCGGAAAGCAGGATGGATGCAGACAGAAGAGGTGGGACCGTCGCGCTGTCTGGCACGAGCCCTCTCATATTACACTCCCAGTATAAGCTGTAAAGAAAGGAAGCTCCTCCTTATACTCCCCAAATCATCCTCTGAGAGCACACAGATCGCTGCTGACTATATATGGAGTCACGATGATGCAAACCCCTCACCTCAACGCTGATGTACCAGCCTACAAGCAAAGCCCATGGAAAACAAGAATTGACTCTGGGTGTTAGATTCACAGCGGGCAGTGCTGCCTGTCACTTCACCGTCCTCTCAGCTTACTCTCCGATAAGATTATCTTCTGTCAATGTGCAGCTGTGTGCCTACCGGACTTGTAAATGTTTCTGAGATCCTATTACAAAAACCACTGGAAAAAAATTCTGGGGGCTTCTGTGCTAAAAATCAGAAGAGCTCACGTGGCAACAGACATGGCCCCAGGCAGGTACTGCCACTGGCTGGATTGGTGCTGGGAGTGCGAAATGGAGCAGTATTTACAGCCCTGCACATGGGGGGTCTCCTGTTTGCACAAAGCTGGAATGTATTTGGGATCTGCCATGCAAATACAGTGGCCTTCTAACAGCATTTAACCTGTACAATGCCAAAGCCTTCAGGAGCCAGAAAGATTTTTTGCACAGTTCTGTAAAATAAAAATCACATGCCTACCCAGATACCCAGATTCAAAGCTGAGCCACTTCCCCACGTTTTTAATAAAAGAGAAAAATTCCCTTAAATTAAAGAGATGTTTACCTAATTCTCACATAGAGATGAAACCAAACAGACCACATGGCTCATAAAAAAATTAGACTGTATTCATCATTTCCATGGCTATCCAGAGTGGCAAGATATATTTAGCTTGTAACTGAAGCACAGTTACTCAGTCTTGTATCTGTGTCTTGTGCTGATAGTGAGAGGGTCAATAGATCTAAACTGACATCTGAAGCAATCACGCATTAGCAACTATATAGAAAAAAGCTACGTTTTCAGATTGTCTTTTGAACTAAACCAGCTTACTCTTTGGTAGTCTTTCTTCCTTCTAAAGGCATTTTTCAGAAAGTAGTTTTTTGAGGTAAAATTGCATAAGTTGTACAGCTTTCTTGCAAAGAGCTGAGAGATGCACCTAAAGCTTCAGAAATGTAGCATTCCAAAAGCCAGGTGTGGGCTAGGAATCATTCATGACAGTTGTGATTTTTAAATAAATCCTTCCTTTTTCTGGCATAAAAATTGCTAAGCAGTGGTAAGGAAGTGGGAGGGCTCTGATTCACAAAAATGATGGCTTACTTTCTGTAATTTTCTTCTTGTCATTTGGAACAGCGAGGTACATAATAACATCTGACACTTCTATAGAGCTTTCAAGTGAGATTCTTGAATCATTTTGCAAATATGAAAGCCTCAGCTCAGCCAGTAAGTGCTTCTCTCCCTTCAGATAAGAGGGCATGGTACTTTTAACCCCAATATACCAGAGGCTGGATTTTCAGAGGGGCTGCAATCTAACAGGAGTATATTGCTAGATAAAAAGGTCTTGCTCTTGTCTTTTTGCTGAGCTTCAATCATGCAAGAAAAGGGGCTCTAAACCCTGTTACATTTTAGGAACTTGCCTTGTTAGGAAATCACATTGCAGAACTGACCAAGTTTGTCCACAGTCCCTTTGCTATCGACAGTTCAGAGGAGGGGGAAAAAAAAAAACCCCAAAAGTCCTTCGCTCTGCTTGTTGCCAAGCAAAATGCAGTTCCCATCTACCAGTGGCATTTTATTTTGGACCTTTACAGCTATTATACGCCTCCTCTGTGCCCTCCTGGATTCATAAATGGACAGAGGCACACACAAGCCGCTTCATGAGACCTTCCAACAGGTTGCAAATAAGAGTAGCTGAAAAATGCCTGTGCTGCTTTGAAAATGTAACGCTTTGCGTAGTTTTTGCTTTTCCATACAAAGGGTTTAGGATATTAAACCTATTTTTCCTACATGCAAATTTTCTTCTATTATTTGGAACACTGAAAATACAGAACAGCTGCTCCGCTTGCACTAGCATGAGTTAGACAGAATTACTCACAGTGTTCAACCACTTAGTTGTTATGAACAGCAGGAAAAGAAATACATCACAAATCTAAAATTCATTTTCAAATAATTAATCATTACAAAGAATGACCATGACTCAGCTTATTGCTCTGAATACTGCCTCTATGGGTGGTTATTTTGTTAGAAAAGAAATAAGCTGCTACAGCACAATAAAATTTCTCCCAGTAGTCTTATGAAACATAAAGTTGAAGGCTGTAGAAAATTAGTTTGGCCCTCTAAATCAGTGTAAACCTTACAGGACTGCGTATCTGACTGCTTTGGCAATGCAGGTCTGCCAGCTAAGCTAAGGTAAAACTCCACTCCCCACTCTTTTCCCAGTGTGGTAGCTCAGCTCTAGATGCCATAATGCTCATTTCCACCCTCCTCCATCCCAAGGTTAACTGCTGAGTACCAGGAATCAGTTGTCCTTCAGGCATCTGCTGGGTCACAGTTACTTTTATGACAGCTTAACAAGAGGCTCAAAAGGGACACACTGGGGTGCTGAATAACAAATAAAAAAGAAATAAGGATCAGTGCTGCCTACAGATAGGACTGTTCAGCTGGTGTAGCTGCGGAAGGAGACAGTCAGTGACAACCAGCTTGGCGTTGTACATCTGTGAAATGTTTCCAAACCACAAGCACACTTATCAAGGTGAGCTGAGAGCACAGTTGCAGTCTATGTACATATGACATGTAACCTTAGGCCACGTTGTACTGATCGTGCCCAAATCCACCCAGAAGCCGAACAGTCCTGGGCTTAGTTAGCAATGGAGTGGGTGACGATCTAAGCATTTGGGTGTTGCAACCATAGACCTGACACCTGTTGCTGAACATGGGATTAATGTCAGATGACAGAAACCAAATGGTGGGAAGATTTTTGAACAAGTCTGTTCTGGTTCCTGAGCTGATGAACAGGAATAATTAAATAAATGTAACAAAACGAAAATATATACAGGCTTAATGCACCTTCCACATATCAGTTTGGAAAGGTTTGGGTTGTTTGGGTTTTTTTAAGCAAACTAACAAACAAAAAGCCATCCCACACGTCTTAGCCAGAAAACAGCAGTTAAAGCAGAAGGTTCTACGTGGAAGAGGGAAAAAAGGATGTTCTTTTTTTCTGAAGTCTTCCTACAAAAGGCTCTAACAGAAACAATTCTGGCAGTTTAAAATACTGACGTTTAAGAGGTAACCTCCAAAGAGTCTTCCCTATTGCCATTGAAATATATGGGAAGAAAGCCCTGTTCTACTCTCATACGCTTCTCTGATACTACAGAAGTCAAGTTATTTACTCCCCCAGGTAAACTTCCAAAGACCATTAAATCTTCTGGACTTTTAACTTTCAAAGTCACATTTTTAAATTTTTCTTTCTAAGAAGTGAGTCAAATACTGAAACTCCTTCCAGCTGCCAGAAGAAATAAAAAAGGGTATTTATACGGCAAATAACATACAAGACCCAGGTTAAAAAGATACAAAATACCAAATCCCAGTGCTTTACTCCAAAGCTTTCCTAACATGAATGCTTACGATCACATTAATAACATGTAAATCAATGGACCAAAACATTTACACCATGGGAGCCTGGGAAAGCATCACTACGTTTGCCATGTTCTGACACTGCTGCTGAGCTGTACCCGCCTCTGGCCATGCTGCTGGGGAGAGAACATAATGCCAGACTTTAGGTCTGGCCACCTTCTTATAGCATGTGGTTCGAGATAGGCAAGTGAAGTTTCTGCCTCACATTCAAGTGCCCAGGATCTATCAGGTAGTCAGGAACAAATCCTGACAGACTACTTGCACTCTGTGAACTGTCTAAGAAGCTGCACTTAAGTAAGCATTAAACACAGAGGTACAACAGCTCAAGAGAAATCTAGTTGCCCACCAGGCTGTCCATTTACAACATTTTCTTGTGATATTACCATATTCAATAAGTGATTAAGTAAGGATATCTAAAATTCAGCTCTTTTCAAAAAATAAAGACCATTCAGTTGCAAAGAAGATAGTTGCATAGTTTGGACTCTACAGGAATTGCGAACAGTCTCTAAAAGTCTGCAATACTTGTATCTCTGAGTGTACACTGTCCATTTCATTAGAACTTTAATAGTCTTGACAGATGTTTGCAAAAATTCTCGCCTGCAATATAACCATATTTCATTAAGAATGACAAGGAGGAAAACAAAACGGAAAAGACTAGAGGTCAATAGACTCCTTTTTTAAATAAAAGAATATAATACAGGAGGGTTTTTTTTCTCTCCCATGGGCTTATTTGCATTTGACTTCCTACTTGCTTTTCCAGTAGAGCTGAGTCTTGACCTTCAATGCAGCTGCACTGCCAGTCCTCTGCCAACTGTTAATTGTGTTGTCTTACAATACTTCTACCATTTGCAAAAACAGAGACAAGAATGACACCAGCAAGATAATTTTCATTCCACCGGAGGATCTGAACTCCACCCTACAAGGGTGAGAGGTGTCTGAGTAAACTCATTAAATTTCTCCCATCTCCTGACACCTCTTTAATATCTCCTTTTAAAAGATGTTCCTAATTATGTCACTTGGGATTCAAACCGCAACTTTCCTTGTAACAAAATCAAATCACATTTCTTTTGACAGTCCAAGCATGTACAGTAACAAATCTTGTTGATGGGCTTTTGCCATCAAAATACAGAACCTTTAAGGAGTCTCAAATCTTAGAGTATGCAACTATGGATTATCGCATGCAGTAGAAGAAAAGCTGTTGGGCAACTCATACTAACATTATTTACAAAGTAAATAGAGCTGAAGTATTTAACAACTACAAAAACATCTTTTTTGGATGACCTGTGAGCACACACAGAAGTATATAGTGTGCGCATATACAAGTGACACGTGTACGAATTAGAATAAAAATGCACAGCACCCCACAGGACCACATGAGGAGGAGCTGTGGAGGCTGGTGACATCTACAAGTGGATAGATAAAAGGTGCAAGTAGAAAATGAGTAAATTTACAGCAGCAACTAGAGATATTACATGACATATGTACTGTGGTGGGCAACACTCTGAGGACCCTGCTATGTCTCCTGACCATTTCTGATAGGACTATTATGCAGATCTCCAACTAAGGGAAAAAGAACAGGCAGAAGAATTTAGGAACAGTGATCTCTAAAAGTAGGAAAAAGAGCAGCTTGGGCTATACAAGGCAACTAGCTGGGAGAACAGATGGTATCTGGCCATTCACCAATGTTGAGGCAGGTCTCAAGTTTTTCATTAACGCTGAATTTGAAAGCAACTTTGCATGAATGTGTTTCTTCCTTTGTTCTTTGCCCTAGAAGGCCAGCTGTAAAATCATTACGATTTTTATTTATTTATTTTCTGGAAGAAAAAGGAAGCAAAGATCCAACAAGAATTCAACATGGAAGAGTGCCCAAGTTTTAGACTGAGAATATATCATATGAAATTTTGAGCATAGTTAAAATGGTCATAAAAATACAGCGATAAAACCTCTGCTTTAAAGTAGAAATACTCACAATGTACCACATACCATCATTTAGAGAATTTTAATCTACAAGGTGTCTGGAAATAAATGTAACAACACAGCACATGAAGTGAAAACGTTCACTTGATTCAAACTCAACCGTACCTGTTCCTGTTCCAGTCGGATCACCTCCTTGGATCTGCAGAATTTAAATAAAATCAATAAGTTACATATATATCTGTGTGAAAGACATTAAATACAAGCCATAAAAGCCAATTCTGCTCAATTTTCTTCCTTCTATATTGTGTCATGTTGACAAGTTAGCAACTAGGAAACCATTACTACTTATTTGGAGCTTCTCTTATCAGCTGGCTGTCATCTCCTACATTACTTATCCAAGAGCAGAATGACAGTTTTATAAACATAATAGGTCTCTTGTGGGTAAATAGGGAAGATAAACAGTCTCAAATGGGTTAACCAGATCATCCTTTCTATTATGTGCTGGGGCATAACCTGCTTTTTAACTGTTCATGCATCGCTTTTGGAAATGAAAAGGCTTTATGTTTTGCTACCAATCTTTTACACGATGGGAAGGCAAGAAATGAGGTAATATGGAATATTTTCTGTATCTGAATCTATATTTCCCAGTGTCCCCCTTACTATCTCCAGTAGGGAAAATCCCCACGTGAAACCGATCTTTCAGCAACATAATTAATCACTGTATATATATGCAGGATCTACAGAAATAATATTCTAATGCCAGCAGAGGGAGTGTGCCATGACTAGCTTCACAGTAATAGCACACAAGCACAATTTTAATTGTGAGTTTAACTGTGAACTGAGATATACAGTGCTGTCAAAAGGAAAAGGCTTTTTTTAGGATGACAGGATGGAATGTAACATTCAGTGACGTCCCCTGAAAGATGTGCGCTGCCTTCAGGATCAGGCTGTTAATTCTTCTGAAAGGAAGTTAGAGGACAGCTACAATACCCTAAGCTGCCTGGACTGTACCTATGTAAATAAAGACCTTTGACTACCAAAGTCAACTTTCTGGTTCGCTAGGTGCTCTTTAACTCCTTCACAAAGAAAGCCTGGGCACCTAGTCCTGGGGCACACTCAGGAAACAATGATCTGACAGTATCCAACTACCACAACCTGAAACAGCTGAAATTCAGCTGCTTTCTATAGTTTCATCTGAATGGGATTTTAACAGGCCACAGTATTACTTATCCAAATTAGCATTCCTCTCTCCCTCTCTCCCCTTCTGTTCATTAACCACCCTCCCACGGCTTAGGGAAGATAACAAGAGCCTTGCCAAGGCAATGACTCTCAAAGGCTTTGTCTGGAACGCCAGCAAAAGCACTACTAAAAGCAGTGATGCTCCAAGTGACAGTATTAGTCAGAGACAGTTGTTAGCAACACTAGTAAGTACAAATTTAGTAAGTTAGGACAATCCTAGTTCTGATGGCATATTTAATATACATCTACTGCAAGTTGTCATGCGTGGAAGAAACTAAAACTGAATTAAGGTAAATAAGTATTGCGAGGACATTGCATATTGTGCATTACACAGGATTTGTTCGATACTCACCACAAAATTACGAATTGATCTGTGGAAAATTGTTCCATCATAATAGTTCTTCTTGCACAATTTGATAAAGTTTTCACATGTTCGGGGTGTCTGAAAGCCAAACGCAAGTTTTAATTAAGCAATACCTTTAGACAATCAACTTGGTCGCTACACTGTTTACAAGGATCACTTCATTTGAGACTTGCAAAGAAACAGTCAAGCAGGACTCTTGAAGAGCAATGAGTCTCGGTCTACAGAAAAAAGATTTAATTTATGCTCTTTTAAAGTATACTGGAGAGACACTCGCAGCGTTAAATTAAACCCAGACCTTCCAATTAGCACAAAGAAGTGCCGAACACTATCTCAGACAACATGAGCTCCCAGTAGACGTAATGATGGTGAAAGCAGGTAAGCTCAGAGTCTTTCCAGTAACTTAATTCCAGTAGTGTATCACAATCCTGTTCCAAAGAGGGACTTCCAGCACAGAAAAAAGTTAATTTCCCAGAGTAAAAAAGAAGCTGACTTCTCTACTCCACTATTTCAAAGTGAGCACGTTGAAGCTAACTGGGAGAGAAGCGTTTGGTCCTCTTTACCACTTGGAACTAAAATTGGGACCGATCCCACAAGTCACCAGACCATAGGAAAAATAAATAAGACAACTTGTTTTCAAAAATCTAAAAGAAGAAAAAGATGCTAAATATATTGGCAACTTCTAATTTGCTTTTACAGTGCAAATTAAAGCTATTTATTTGAATTTTTGAGCCATGGCATTCAAATAGTATCTTCTGAAAAACTTTACTGCCTACCTAATTATCCTTCCACTGTAATTGTATGGATTCTTTTCTCTGCAATACTAAAATACCTTCACGTGTACCAATACAAGTAGAGAAACAGCCTGTTTTCTATACTTGGACATGTTTTCCAGCCCCACTCACTGTGGATTATGTACATAAATATATTCCAGTTTTACAAAAGAACATATCTAACTAATCTGAGTTGTTACAGGCACTGAAAATATGCTTATTGTTGTATGTGCTTGCAAGTAAAGCCCCAGCAGGAGTTGCAACGTCTGTAAATGAACACATGCAAGACTTGCAGCCTCTTTCTGAAAGACACTGATTCACTTTGCATTGGTGTGACATCATTCCTGGTCAGAGCTGTAGACAGACAAGAGACTGAGCCATGCAACCTGAAGTGACTTAAAAGCAAAACAATAAGGCAAACCCAATTACAATCATTTAAGGATGAAACAATCGCTATCTTTTTAAAGTAGATCCATGTAAGTATTCATCTGGAACCATACAGAACTTCAGTTTTCTGTAAATTCTCATCCGAAACACATCATTCTTACCCCTCTTTATTGACACTGAAACATGTCTTAATTATCCAAACAAACTCTACTTGTGTTAATTACTCTACACAGATATAGATGACAGTTTTCAGCTGGGCCATAACTGGAAAAATAAATAAGTTCTAATGCAATCTTACACCAGCTATTATATCAGATTTCCCGTATAATTTATTACTGGGTTAAAATGACAATGGTACCATAATAGGCTTACAGTAGAATGCCACTAGGACATGTATTTTGGTAGCATCCCAAGGGCAACCTATAAGTAAATATATTCCATAAAAATTGTTTCAAGCCATAGGAGGTTCTCCTACAGTTTCAGTATTTATAGCAAATTTGTAAATTTTTCTTTGAATTGGACATATATGCTTGAAAATAATCTTTGTACATAACCTTTCAAGTAAAATTCAACCCCTGAAGAATCATTTGTGCAGTGTATGCTTCCTTTATAAGACAATATCATAACAGCCTTGATCCTGACGTAGTGCTATTAGTTATTACTCATGAAAAATGTCAGTAAGGATAAAAATAAATTAAAAAAATCTCTTTATGAATCACAAATGGAATCAGCAGCTTTTAGACTATGGCACTTTATCTCATGAGAACCAAGCACTCTTTAGAGAGAGAGACATACTTAATAAGTTCTCTGGGGGGAATACCTAAATCTGTAATTGATTTTTTTATGAAAAATGAAATCAGGCGAAAGTCTAAGTCCCCTAGGAACACATAGCAAACCATATTAAATTTGCACAATGTTGATAACCCAATACAGATTTCCTATTCATTTTCAAAACATGATTTGTAAAACATGCATCAAAAAAACCTGGCTCTAGTAATGTATTTTTTATGTAGGACCTATGCTGACCCATCTCTCTAAATGGATTTCTAGTTACTGTATCTTTTCCCAGAAACAAGCTTTTCTGATGCAACTGCAGAAATATTTAGTATACATGCAATAATCATTTCACTGCAAGGTTTTCTTTAAATAATTGCCACCAAATTGGTTCCCATGGTCACCTTATGCATCATACAGATACATTTGGCAGGTAAACAGCTCCTTAGCAACATTACCATTACCTTTCATGGTGCTTTTTAGTAGACACAAATAAAAAGATTTGCATTCAATCAGTAATAAACCCCAGTTTCAGTCATGCAGTTGATCTAGAATATCTGGCTCAGATTATCTGATTTATTCAAAGCAGTTAATGTTCTTGCCAAATCTCACACTGCCAAGCACATTTCAGGGACTTTTTTAAGCAGCATCCTGTCCAAAGCAGGAGAAAAAGGCTCGAGGTTTATGGGGAAGATGTAGATCCTAAGTAATGAAGTTACATTCTGCATTGACCATACAAACATAGCCAGTCTTTGAAGTCTTTGTTCCAACTACAAAGACTGATGAGAAATATATATATAAACAAACCTGACTTTGTTATTTGAGTGTAAGATCTTGTGGAAGATGTCAGACATGCAGTTGTGGAATGCAAAACTGTCTACTTCTTCAGAAACTTCCTCCATACCACTTGCCTCACACAATTTCTGAAGGAGGAAGGGATCAAGGCACCTGAAAATGCAGAAGTGCAGGAGACAATGCTGGTTTCTTGTCGCCTCATTACTGACAATGGACTCTAGGCTCTCTTTGTACTTCTGGCTGTTTTTGTCTTAAATTGACCTCAACAGCAGCAGCTAACTTTTCCCTCTTTATTCCTTTCACATTAAGCAGGAAATGATTTAAGTTATTTTAATCTGCTGACTATGACTTAGACATGTATATAAGAAAGTCAAGGGGAAAATACCACCTTAATTTGGTAACCTGTTGATCTGAAAGCCACCGACAGAAAAAAGGTTATGTTTTAAATCTACTGCAGCATCTTCTGCAAAGGATGCAGTGATAGTCCTAAGAAGTCAAATTTAAAAATTGTGGAAGGCTTTTCTTTCTGAAGAGTGTGGTAGGACAGCCCTCAGAAATCCTCCTTTTCTTTGGTCAAGTTGGGACTGCATAAGTGGATGCGGTGTCTCTGTATGATGACCTTCAACTTAAAGATACTTCTCGCTCCGGATGACAAACAGTAAGAAAAAAAATGGCTTATTTATACCAAAATGAGTTTCCTGCTCCAAGTATGCTCCCCATTTATTTTGCAGATGCCAGATAACTGTCTTTCAACTGTTGGAAATTCACACCCAAGACAAGTGGTAAAACTTTAATAAACGTTTTGAGACAGGAATCCAGAAGAATACTTATCCCAGAAGATGACACAAATGCTTTGCTTGGCTCACAGACGTATATTTAATGTGGAAACAGGCCAATGGTTTTCTAATTATGTTCAAGTCTCTATTTAGCTAACACACTTAGTAGGTAATTCTACATGGAAATACCAGCACTCTACTAGTTATTGGGCCTGGACAAGTTTCAGAATTGAAAAGAGATTGCTACTATGACCACACAAACACATCAGTGACAAGAGGCTGATTGTGAAATCACAGATACTGAGAAAACACTAAAGAAAGGAATATAAAATTAGAAAAAAACCAAAGCAAACCAGAAAAAACAACACGAGTCCTTACTATAAAGTTCTAGAAAAAATGCAGATTTTATCTTGTTCCCCTTTTAAGTATTAACCAAGCCAATTTTAGTTTCCTTTTTGCCAGTAAGGGTGGCCCCAAACCAGGCAAAATTAATCTCTCTTGCTGCATCCCTGAGACCTGAGGGGTAAGACTAACCAAGCCAGATCACCATCTGTTTTCTCAGTTTACAGCTCTCTTTTCTCATCAGTTAAAATGGGTCATTACATTTGTAAAAGTTACCTTAACTCAGAATTTGTATTGGGCAGCTGAAGAGCCAACCAGAAGTAGATTAAAAACCTGTGGCACTCCTGTTGCCAAGGTACAGGAGATGGGAAGAGAGAGGAGCTTCTGAGTCGTTGCCATGACTGCAAGGAAGAAGGCTTTACTATGTGAAGAGCTAATCATTTCAAAATGCTCCATCCCTTGAGGATCTGCATGAACCTTGAAGAGAAATTTCACACTAAGCAGTCAGAAGCTGTCATTTGCACATCTGTATAATTTCCTTGTGCTAATTCCACTTCCCTTTTATTTCTTTTTGTCTCTCTAAATTGGATGAACTATAGTCGTTGCACTAAACTAGAGAGCCTTGATATATGCTCATTAACCCTACGTTTCAAAGCAGAAATAATCTGAAATAATGAAAAGCTTGTTCCTCACAAATTAAAATTGCATTCTGCAGCCTTCATCTTATCACACAAATGCCAGAATCCCACTCCTAAGAGGCATGAACTAGTGAAGGAAATTTCTAAAGCTTCAAATGAAGCCTGCAATTTTTTTAACGCCAATCTCCTTTAAAATGCAAGGTGGATTTTGTTTTGCTTTAGTCCATTTATGTACTTTTTTTTTCCCCACACAGCATTTTCACTCTTGTTCATTCTAGCAACTCTTTTAATGCATGAGCTCATAAAGAGGTGATTTGGTAAGGTTTAAACTCAGTTCTCCCAATCCCTTTCAATCTGCAATTCATGTAGCCTATCCATCCCACAGGAAAGAAGCCGCCCTAATAAAAGCTTGGCTTTAGTTAGGGCTTAGTCAGAGGCAACTGTAATGGAGCAGTTTCAGGAATCACCATCTATCAGGTGCAAGTGTGTGTTCCCTCCACTAAGTCATGGAAAAAAACTGGACATACAAATATTTCTGGTGCCTTTCAATGCATAATACTGTACTGGAAGGCAATTTAAGCTATCCTACTCCTACT